GAGGAATATGTTCCAGCAAACGGGGAAGTACGAACCCAATGTTACTGGGCGCATTGACCACTTAAGAGTACTGTAGCCTCAGCATTTCACATTGAGAGGTCACCATTCTCAATCAAGAGCTAGGATACTTATTTTGCGAGATTCTCACTGGCAACATCTTTAGGGATACTTTCAATGAAAAGGATACCGGAATGGGGGTTACTATAGTTGTGAGATACTACTCACACTTGTGAGTAGCTCACAAAAAGATGCGATTGGCGGTTTCTTTCAACGGTCAGAAATGAGCAAGACCTGTTCGAGCGAACAGCTACTGTTCAGTATGGTAACTACAAGAATACGCATCTAAAAGTGTACCGTTCGATTAACTATCTTGTGTGCGTGGGGGAATTGTGAAGACTTTCCAAATGAGATATTTTATTGTAAGAATGCCGATTTACTGACCGTTATTCTTAATGAAAAACCATTCTCGACTAGGCACCGCGTCTGTGAGTAGTAACAGTCACGCCATTCACCAAAAAGGATTTTACAAATGACAGTTAGGAAAATTAGGCGATACCGTTTGAGAAATCACTGTGCGCCGAATCTCGTAAAAGACCAAAGCTCGGAAAAACTAAACATTCCATTTTGTAAAGTGTGTGGATGAAATAAAACATTATTTTTTCGGATACACCTCGAAAACTGTGAAAAGCTGGGTGCTCAAGCTTGATTCGCTTTCAATTAAACTGTTGCAGCTTATCCGGATATCATTTTGTTCACTTGTATGATGTAAATAGCGATGATCTCATCAGATAACGTGTTAGATACCCAGATTGATAATATAATATGATTTCGATCATAAGTCGCTGAAGCAGGTACAAACCCGAATTCGTTCGAACCCGTAGCTTTCCTACGGGTTCAGAACAATTTTTATGATTCGTTAGTCTAACCCTAAATTTGATACCTAATATCGATTAGCGATTACAACACAGCCCCTTCTGGTGATCACGTGACACAAGCCCCTTTTGTGAGGGCACTTGTGTGTCCGGGTTTGGGGATAAGAAACTGAATCTTATCTTATGAATTGAATTCACTGTTGAACGATTAGTGTTACAGACTCAAGGCAGAATTAAAGCGACCCACACAAATTCATAACGATCTAACCAGTTAAATATTGATGTATGTAGCTTTTCTATCAATGGAAGCCGGTCATCGATATTGATTATTCACAAGACGGACAGCGATTCCTGTTCCGAGTTGAGAACGTAAGTCAATCTATCATGAAAGTGAAACTATTCGAGCCTCTAGGATCACCCAGATCAGTTTCCCCATACTTGACCGTGCACAGGGACAAATTTCAGCATTTTAGACAATGTCACATCTCACTCAACTGAGCGTTACCATCCGGGGTCAAGTGCGTGGTTTGTTCCAGTTCTACCTGTGCACTCCCGGATTCGATTTTCAGTTGAGTCGGTGTGTTCGCACCGCTGACCAGGCACAAACAATTCCAATCGGCTGCCCATTATTACCGTTCCTTTATGTTCACGATTGATCTGCATTGTACTTGTCGAAAGTCATGATTGGAAATCAAAGTGTATGATGAGCTTTCAGCTATCGCATAGCCGAACACAAGAAACAATCATCACTATTGGTTTCTCAAACGAGTTGTGAGAATACAGCGATTTATGTGGCTTCGCAGTCAGAGACCGCAAACATCTATTACATTTATAAAACTTTCCCATCAGAAATTTTTATCTCAGCAAATCACTGATCAGAATTAAATCTATTATTTTCTTACTTGGACCATGATCAAACTCTCAAGTAGTGGTATCAGTTGTTCCGTTTTAGTCAATAAATTCTTTAGTTCTCTCTGGCTACATTGGGGTTCAGCTGTGTATGCTATCCCTGATCTCGATCAGCTGTAATGTGTGTTGAACAAAACACGGTGTTTTTGACTCAGCATAAGACGGAATGTGGCTGATCATCACATAACTGTAGAGCATGCACGAGCGTTTCAGCAAAAACAATAATAATAATAATAATAACAACGGCAATAACAACAAAACACAACAAAAACAACAACAAAAACAATCATTACAGGCTACCTGCTTGGATTTCGTTTGGACGATCGCACCACCCCATTTCTTTCCTTTCTCCAAATCAGTCACTGGATTGGTTTGAGCTCACTTCCCCCAAATGATAAATTACTATAAATGTCTTAGCTCTTTCCAAACTCTACTCAAGCATGTCCTTTGTGAACTGAACTAGGACTGGGTGTGCGTTGCTTGATAGCCACAGTGATGCAATGCTTTAGTCCGCTGATATTCACATTCACAAAAATTAAAGTGCTCTCATTGTCAGGACTACGTCATTTAGTATCTAAAACCACGTTTGGCCATACGCACGGGGGTCTGTATACCAGTCTTACAAATGGGAGCACAGAAAAGCCACGACTGCCTCAGACAGTCCCGTTATTCTACGATAACGAAAAGGCACAACGAACACAGTGTAGTACATAGATGCAGGTAAAACGTACGAGTTTGACGTTCGGGTGGGTGGTAGATGAATGAATGAACGAACAAAGTGTTCCAAAGTGACGTACCACATGATCAAACGGATCAGACGCATCACACACTCATCCATGATGCTGAAAAAGACGAGCATCGGTCGTCCACGTTCACCCATTTGCCCGATACACAGTCCAAATGCAACGGAGAATGTGACCAAACCTGAAGTGGAATGACAACCGGCGGTAGGGGTAAAAAAGCCACGTTGCGAGGATAACATAAAGTGTGGTGGTTTGATGTGTTCTCCAGACAAGATATACAGACACGTATATGTATGTGAAGGTGTGTTTATCGGAATCGGTGGGAATGCTTAGTCGGCATTTGAACAGATTGAAAGAGCGAAAACAGGCGTTCACCACTACCAATTACTATGCTATCGCTCGTTTCGGATATGGTATATTAATTTAAAATTTGGCGCCCCACGAGCTGTGGTAGAGAAAAAAATCATCCCGTCCGGGTCCGTCAGAGAACCGTATCTGCCAAGGATTACACTTGTGTGTGTGTGTGCGAGCACGCCAGGAACCATCTTGGACGAATCTTTTCAACCGTGTTCACAAGAATTCGTTCGGTTGCTCTGTGGTATGATCTACTCAAGGAAACCAAACTTTCTGATGGATACCCACATATCAGTTGGTTGATCGAGGTTTGGGCGAGTCTCCCTACTGAGACATTCAGTTTCCGAGAGAAATTAGAACACAGAGAGAAAGCGCTCAAGATTTATTCCGAGGCAAATTTCGCCGCATCTCAGCTGGTACCATATGACACAAAACCACAGTATACCATGATCCGTCATCAACAGATGTCGAACGATTGATGGCACAGGTTGTTTGCTTTTTCAGTGTTCTTGGTTAAAGATGGTGGTTGATAATGGTGTAGTTTGGTTGACCACGATTATGTTAATGGTGGGTAGTGTGTATATATACAATTGGTGGGTTGAACTGGAGAATGAGCTCCGCTTGTGGTACTCGTTCAACGGGAGTCTAAGCCAACATGGGACGTAGTCCTTGCTCTGTGCATGTGAATACCTACCTGTTCTATCAATACTAGGTCCTCCTCATCCACCTATGAATTGATATGTTACATAGGATTTGATGGATAGTGACAAAGGTTACTTTTAAGGTGGACTGGGAATTCATATTATAGTACGTAACATGATATTCAGTCGGTTTTGGAAGACCGGGCTGATGTCGTCGACTTCAAATGGTGAGTGAATGTCGGCTCTCTTCTTAGGTAAATTATATACCATTGACTTCTGTTGAGGTTGCGTTGCTTCATAAAACTCTTTGGGTAATTATTCTCAACAATAATGGGTTGAAGTTTGTTTCAGCCCACTTGCAAACTGTTCTTGGTGCAGATGGTCGCAGATGGAATAGGGTTCTACAATACCGCGCATGTGGTTGATTGGTATTAACATACGAAACTGTGGATGTTTGTTCCTAACAGGTACTATGGTGATAATACAGTCCTACGAACCATTGCGTATCGTACTCTTACCAGTGAAACATTTATTATTGTGATGAGATGATCTTGTTTCTCAGGGCCTTTATGAAGTGTGTACAATCAACTTATCAACAACTTAAGTTATTCGCCACCTCATTTTTTAATTTTACGAGGCCCTCGAGGATATACACCAAGGACACTTCCCATCACACCTCCGTCTATTTATCTACTACGAAACTGAAGCTGATATCTCATGTGTATCAGAGAAGGAGACTTTCCAGCTCCCATATTAATAGAATAACTTTCGGGAGTTTTGCTTATTTTACGATAGGGTGTGCAAAAAGAAATGTAGGTCTCAATGTCACTGTCTGGGTAGTGGTAAAAGTGTGACCAATGTATAATGTACTAGAGATGATGCCCTTTGAAACGAAATATAGATTGGAGTTTTCTCCCGTATTGTATGCAGTGAGATGCAGTGAAA